ACATATACATATATTATATGTATTACATGCATGAATATATATGCATATATATATATATATATTCATTTAGCAGTTTGAGAGTTGGAAGAGTTCAGGTTTGGGTGGAGACAGATCCCTTTGTCAGTACCCCAGACCAGCAAGGGGAGAGAAGACTCCTGCACTTGAACTAATCATATTATTGTAACTCCTGGACAAGTAGGAAATATTCCATTCAGCTGGGAGCAGACACATAAATTATGGATGGACACACCTACTCCAGACAGTCACCGGAGAAAGGAAGCAGCTTTAAGGAGTGTGACCCTACTCCCAGCAAAGAAGAATACCAAGTATAGATATGAGGCACCTGGGTGGCACAGTGGCTAGAGCACTGGCCCTGGAGTCAGGAAGACTGGAGTGCAAATCCAACCTTAGATACTTACTAGCTGTGTGAACCTGAAGCATCAAGTGATCTCTGTCTGCCTCAATTTCCTCATCTGTAAAATGAAGGTAATAGGGGCAGCTAGGTGACGCAGTGGATAGAGCTCTGGTCTTGGAGTCAGGAGGACCTGAGTTCAAATCCAGCCTCAGACACTTGACACTTACTAGCTGTGTGACCCTGGGCAAGTCACTTAACCCTGATTGCCTCACCAAAAAAAAAAGAAAAATGAAAAGAAAAATTAAGGTAATAATAGCACCTACCTCCCAGGGTTGTTGTGAGAACCCCATGAGATAATATTTCTAAAGCTCTGATTGGGGAATAGCATTTTCCACCTCTAAGTTTTTCTGTTACAATAGTAATTCATATTTCTGTAATCATTTACAATTCACCCAATGTTTTCCCAGTTACAGTCCTCTGAAGTACATAGGATAAATATTATTGTCCCCATTTTGCACGTAAGGAAACCTGCCCAGAAAAGGGAAGTGACCCAGTCACACAACAGGGGGGCAGAGACAGAATTTAAGCCCAGATTTCTGGCTCCAAGTTCCATGCTTTATTCATGTGATGTTCTATATTTTAGGGGCTCTTCTGGCATTGATAGTCTCTGTTTGACACCCTAAGGATTTTTTCGACTCTGACATTCTATACTCTAAGGTTATTCCCACTTGTGACACTTTGTGATCTATATTCTAAGGGCCCTTTCTAGCTCTAACAGAGAAAATATATATTTTCTATTTTCCCATGGACTTTATGTGCATTTTGGGGAAAGTATGTCCCTGCAGCTTGGGGGAGTGTAGGGGGAATGTTTCACACAGACTGTCCTTACTATGGCACCTTAGTGATGCCCAATGAAATGAAATGCCTAATGCTGGGCATTTTGCTAAAGACTAAATAAGTCTACTAGCTGATTGTTCATGGGACATACCACTAGTGGAGGCTAATGGACTCTAGTAATAAACTGTTGTAGTTGTTTGTCCAAGAGGACCATTACATCAGGAAGATGATGCCTTGACTTGCAAACGAATTGGATTTAAATGAAGCAGGGCTGTGCAAAGTCACCAGCCTCACTTTGTCCTTCAGAGCCACCTGAGTCCAGCGGCCAGATATAGATCAGGACTGGAGTTGGCCACAGATGCAGTGGGAGACCTTGACCTTTTTTCTCTAGTAGTAGGAGTAGTCAATCAAAAGGTGAACTCTGGAACCTGAGGATAGTCATTGCCTTGGGGACCCAATCCATAAATTCAAGTGCAAGTTATGAGAGAGTTATGTCCAACTGTTTCCCATCCTTAAAAAAAAAAAAAACAAAACTCAGTGGACTACCATCCCCTCAAGCTGTCATCTTCTATCTCTTAGCCCTTTGACAGCCAAACTTCTAGAAAAAGTTATCTATCCCTGTTACCTCCCCTTCCTTTCTCCTTTTTCTCTTCTTCCTTTTTCTCAACCTTTTACAACCTGACTTCAACTTTATTACTCATAATGAAATTGTTCTCCCCAAAGTTACCAATGACCTCTTCACGGACAGATCTGATGGATTTCTCCATCTTCATATTTCTTCTCCTCTCTGCAGCTTTTGTCACACTGTTGACCAGCCTCTCTTCCTAGGTACTATCTCCTCCCTGGGTTTATGACACTGCTCTCTCCTGTTTCTCTTTTGACCTGAATGACTATTCCTTCTCAGTATCCTTTGCTGGCTCTTCATCCAGGTCATACCTTGGCATTGTAGGTGTACTCTAAGGCTCTGTTCTCGTCTCTTCTTTTTCTATACTCTCACTCCTCAGCTCACCTGGTTTTAAGTATCATCACCCTGCAGTGGACTCTATCTCAATGATCTCATCAATTCCCATGGGTCCAATTATCATTGATATGCAGATGACTTCCAGATCCATATATCCAGCCCTAGTCTTTCTCCTGGGCACTAGCCTTACATCAACAATTCACCACTGGGCATTTCAAACTGAATACCCTATAAATATCCCAAATTCAATATGTCCAAAACAGAAGTCATTATCTCTCCCCCTCCCCGCTTCCAAATCCATCTCTCTTTTGAACTTTCTTGTTTCCATCCAGGGCACTCTTATCCTTCCTGTAGCTCACGTTTGCAACTTTGAAGCTGTGTTCCACTCTTCATTGTCCTTCCAATGCCCCGTCCAATCAGTTGTTAAGTCGTGTTGATTCTATTCCTGCAACTTTCACATTCATCCTTTTGCTCCACTCCCAGGGCTACCCTAGTGGCTTCATCCCCAATCACTTTTGCCTCCTGATTGTCTTCCCCGTCTCAAGTCTCTCTTCTCTCCAATCTATCTTCCACAGAGCTGCCAAAATGATTGTCATAAATGCAGGTCTGACGACGTCACTCTCCTGTTCAAAAAACTCCAGTAGCTCCCCATTTCCTCTAGCATCAAAGACAAAACTCCTCTGGTTAGGTGAAGCCTTTCACAAGTTGGCTCCAACCAACCTTCTTCAACTTACTGTACATTACTCCCTTTCATACATTCTATGGTCCAGCAAAACTGGCCTTCTTCGTGTTCCTCACACCCAACCCTCCCTCTCCCATCTCTACGCTTTTGTTTTGTTTTGCTTTGTTTTTGAGGCAATTGGGGGTTAAGTGACTTGCCCAGGGTCACACATCTAGTGTCAAGTGTCTGGTCTGAGACTGGATTTGAACTCAGATCCATCTCCACACTTTTGCACTGGCTATTTTCCATGCCTGGAATGTGCTCCTTTCTCAGTCCTGCCCCTTAGAATACTTCTGTTGTTGTTCAGTCCTTTTGAGCCATATACAACTCTTCGTGACCCCATATGGGGTTTTCTTGGCGTAGCCACTGGAGTGGTTTTCCATTTCCTTCTCCAGCTCATTTTACAGATAAGGAAACTGAGACAAATGTAATTAAATGACTTGCCCAGGGTCACACAGCTAGTAAGTGTCTCAGGCCAGATTTGAACTCGGGCAATCTTCCTGACTCCAGGTCCCCCATTCTATCCACTGCTGACCAACCTCTATCAATTTCACTCTAGTCACTGCATCACCTAGCTGCCCTGGTTAGAATCCCTAGTTTCCTCCGAAGTTCAGCTCAAGGACCATTTTCTACATGCATCCCTCCATACGCAGTGCCTCTTCCTTCCATATACATTACTTCCTATGTGTTTGCAAACTTTAAAACCCTATATAAGCTATTATTATTATTATTATGTGTATAATCATAAGAACATGTTGTCCTTTGATGGAATAGGAACTCCTTGAGGGCAGGGACTCTTTCATGTATGTCTGTATCACTAGCACCCTAAACAGTGCTTAGCATATTATAGTGGTTTAATAAATGCTTGGGGACTGAGAGAGTGAGCGAGTAGGGGGCTGAGGTGGCCTGGAGATGAGAAGCCTTGGGGTGGGACTGAGGAGATGACATGATGCCAGCATTCAGGTATTTGTAAGGGACATTACAGGTACTCTGCTCGGCCCCAGAGAATAGGACAAGTTCGATTCTGACTCAATGTTAAGAACTTTCTAACAAAAATGCCATCCCACACTGGAATGGCCTCAGAAGGTAGTGAATTCCTATTCCTTGGAGGTATTCAAATGCAAGCTGGGGGATTTCTCATCCAGGACAAATTGGGAGAGATGACCTCTGAGACCCCTTCCACTTCTGAGACTCTGGGGTTGTCTAGACTGGGGAGGGTATAGGGCCAGGAGATTTTGGGGGTTTACATGCAGGGGTTAGGTGGGGAGAGGATTCTTTCTCTTCCTATTGAGTTCCTCATAGCCTGGACCTATCACCTTCTTCCAAGTGTCTCAGTTTCCCCAAACTCAGAGGAAAGGGAGAATACAAGCAGACAGAGCAGGTCGCAACTAGGCCCAAGTGGATCCTTGTAGTCATGGTATTAATGGCCTGGCCCTTCTTCCTCTTAGTTTATGATTTTGTAGTCAATGAGCCTGGACTGAGTGACTGCTGTTTGTTCAGTCCTGCTATGGGGGAGACAGCAGAAATTAATAGAGGGGGGAAAGGGGGGACAGATTGACCACTGGGGATGGGGAAACAGATGAATAGATGGACAGAAGGCTTCCGGATGGACCAGGGAGATGAATGGGAAAAGGATATAGGAGAGGGGCAGTCAGGCAGAGGACAGATGGACTAAGGAGCAGGATGGAAAAACAGACAGATGGAGAGGGAGGGATAGGAAGATGAAGAATGAACAGACAAACGAAAAGGAGGACAGACAGACAAGACAGAGGAGCAGGGCAGGACACCTAGGGGTGGACAGACAAATGGCCAGAGGAAAGGGATGGCAAGACGAAGCACAGACAGGTGAACAGTGGGGGGAGACAGGCTGAGGACAGATTAGGGGAGAATGATTGAGAGAAGGGGGAGCTAGAGGAGAGGAGCAGCCCCGTGCTCAGGTTCAGGCTGATGCCTTGGTGGGGTGGAGAGGGGGTTTCTTCTGGGCTTGGCCCTGCCCTGCCCACCCTGGGGCTCGGCCGCTCCCTCCCTCTCCTGCCCTCTGGCGCCCCTGCGTAGGCACGGCTGCACTGGAGGAGGCTGCGGCGGGGGAGGCGGAGCGCCTGGGCAGCCGGGAGGGCAGGCACGGCGGGCGCCGGAGGATGCAGTCTCCATGGGGCTGCTGTGGTTTCTGTCTTTTCTCCATTCCACCTTCTTTGGGGACGAGGTAGGAGCTGCCAAGGCTTGGGGTGGGGTGGGAGTGGGAGATCACTTTGGGGGGTGAGGGGGGAGGGCTGGATTTTTCCTGTCCTGCCCTGCAGGATTGAAAACGGAGGAGGTTTAGCGGGGAGGGCAAGGCCTGGGCCAAGAGGGAGGGTTAGGGATAAAAAGAGGGGAGAGAGGTTTGGATGCCAAGAGGATGGGGGCATAAGGATTAGAGGATGGGGAGGGAGGAAGAGTATGGAAATGAAGGGCCAAGGGGATGTGATGGGGGAGGGAGATAGGGAGAGGAGGGGTGGGGAGCGGGATGGGCTGGGAGAACAGGAATGGGGTCTAGGGGTGCCTCTGATGGAGGTAGCTGGTGTCCTTCAGACCTGACAGGGTGTGTAGATTTGGGGGGAGAACCTTCCTGGAAGGGGGCGCTGCAGTGAGTCCCACAGAGAGAGGGCGGTGCCCCTGTGCCCCGAGATCTGGTGGGGAAGGAAAGGCTTAGTTTGTGGGTTGGGTGGAGGAAGAATGTGAGGGGACTTGTCGAGGTTTCAGGGTTGGAACGTGGGGGCATAGTTTGAGGGGCTTTAGGGGAGCGGTTTGGGGGAGAATAGGGGAGGGTTTCAGGGAATTGGGCTTGGGGGAGGATTTTAAGGGGAACAGTGCAAGGGAAGGTAGAGGGAGGGTTTTAGGGGAAAAGAGGGGGACATTTTTCAGGCCTGGATTGGAGGTTGGAGCTCAGTGTATGGATTCTTTTTCAAAGAATTATCTGGCCATTTTTGATGCTTCTAGCCCCTACCACCTCGAGAGGTTTAGGGGGTGGGGAGGAAAACAAGGCTGCTGCAGAGATGAGGCTTCACCAGGCCTTGGTGCTAGAGCAGAGCTGGAATGGACATCTGGGCCCCCCAGGCCAGAGGCTGGCACCAAAGGCTGGCACCACAGCCTGGCACCAGCCGTGGGAGAGTCTGTCCCCAGGAGGCCTGGTTCTCCATTCCTCCTCTACCCCACCCCTCCCTTCTCCTCCATCCCTGGCCCTGGCACTTCCCCAGTCAATTGGCAAGGAAGGCCCTGTCCCCATGGTGACCGTTGCCAGGGAGCTGCTTCCTCTCTCTTTGGATTCTAAGTCCAAGGCCTTGCCTTGTGGGAAGGAGACGCGCTAGGGGCTGATGGGGGCATGTTAAGGATGGAAACATGCCCCCCCTACTCCGCCCCCCCGGCAAAGCGTCTCCTTCCCCAAAACCCAGGTCAGACTACAGAGCATCTCTTTCTCCAAAACATCCTCCTATACTCCTGAATCTTGCTTGGCAATCTGGCTTCTTTTCCCTACCTCCTCACATCCCTTACAATACTTCCTGAGGTCTGGCTGCCCTCAGTACCTCCAGCACAGAGAAGCCAGGGCATTCCCTCAGAATCACACAGCCCAGTCTGGGAAGAAACCACCGGAAGAGTCTCTGGGAGCAGCCTACTACTTCTCTTTATGGATTGGTCCCTGGTGCTGCGGCCTCCTAGGGAAGTGGGGTGGCTGGAGGCTGGGCTTGTAGGATGAAATTCTGGGTTCCAGGGGAGCAGACAGCCCAGGACCTCTATGCCTTCTCCTCCCCATCAGGTCCCTCCCTAAGAGGGAGGGTGGGCAATGGGTGACAGCTCATCTTGGAGTAGGACAGAAAAAAGACACCTTGACTATTCACATTTCTCTCCATAGTTACACAGTGAGAAAGGTTGGGGTGTGAGGTGGGGGAAGTGCTGAGAGACCATCTAGTCCAAACTCCTTATTCTACAGATGGGGAAACTGAGGCCCAGAGAGGGGAATAACTTTCTAAGTCACACAGTGAGGAAGCAGAGAGAGGACTGGCATCTGGGTATATCCTGACTCTCAGTCCAGGAACTGATGCATAGCTCTCCCTCCTCCGACCCCTCCCAGTACTTCACTTTTGCCTCTCCGGCTTCCAGGCGGCCTTTCAGGATCACAAAGTGCCTTTAATACATTATCTCGTTAGATTATCACCTTCCTCTGGGAAGTACATTGTGCAATTGTTATCATACCCATTTTACAGAGAGGAAAGCTTAGCCTACATAACTTGCCCAAGTCCACATAGATACTAAGTGGCAGAGCAAGGAAATGAACCCGGGTTGCTTGACTCTCAGGCTTGGACTCTTTCCCTAAGGATTTCCTTGTGGCCCTTATGATACTATGTGGCTTATCTTCCCTACTAGGTTGTGATGGGAAATTTATTAGGGCAGAGACCTCAGTTTTCTTCTCTGGAAAATGATGGCATCAGACCAGATGATCTCTCTCTAAGACACTGCTCAACCCTGACATATCCTGGGTTCTAAGGGCTCTCCCAGCCCTGACATCTGTGTTCTAAGGGCCCTCCCAGCTATAACATCCTGTGTTCTAAGGGACCTCCTAGCTCTGATATTCTGTGTTCTAAGAGCCTTCCCAAGACTAATGTTCTATGTCCTCTCTCCAGGCAAGTCCACTATTTTTTCCTCAAATTTTAGGCAGAAGAACCATGGCCTCTAGTAGTCTTAGAGTCAACCTTAAGTCCATCCTGAGGTGAAGCAGCCACAGATGGAAAGCCAGGAAGAATTTTCCTCTTCAGCTTTGTTTGGGGGCAGCTCTCAGAGTCCCCTCAGCCTATGACCTCAGGCCAAGTTGGGCTTTGAGACAAGAGATGGACTAGATTCATTGACTAATACCCTACCGCCTTGGGCCTCTGAATCCCCAGTAATTTCTCCTTAGTCTTCTGAGAGTAAATGAAAACAAATGTCCAGTAGAATGTATGCTCCTTGAAGGCAAAGGTATCTCCACCCCACTGCACAGTGCCTTGCATATAGTAGGAATCTAATAAATAGTTTTAGAACCAATTTGAAGATCAAGCCATGGCTTCATAGATTTTTAACTAGAAGGAATCTTAAATGTTATTGAGTCCAACTCCCCAATTTTATAAGCAGGGAAACTGAGACCCACAGAGATTAAGTGATTGTTCTACATGACAGGTAGTATGCGATGGAGCCAGAATTTGAACCCAGATTTTCTGGATTATACAAATCCAACACTTTTCCAGTCAACCAGTCTGTCTGGAAGATACACCAACCTCCCCATGCCACCGATTGTGTTTAGCCCTGGGCTCATTCATCCACTCTGAGCATGTATACATGGTCATTGCTCCCCCAAAGAGAATGTAAACTTCTCAAGTAGGGCTGGAGTGTGTGTGTATGTATGTATATGTGTATATATATATATATATATATGTGTGTGTGTGTGTGTGTGTGTGTGTGTGTGTGTGTGTGTGTATAAACACAAATATATATAAATGTGTGTATTATAGACACAAATGTGTGTATACTCATACATACAAACACACATATATAGTCATTGGACCACCAGCACCTCACACAGTGCCTGGCACATGGGAAGAAGAAGGAGAGAGAAGGGGAAGCATTTATATAGTGCCTACTATGTGCCAGGCACTGTGCTAAGTGTTTTACAAATATTATCCCATTTGATCTTCGCAACAACTCTGAAAGGTAAGTGCTGTTACTTTCTCAATTTTACAGCTGAAGAAACTGAGGCAGAGGTTAAGTGGCTTGCCCAGGATAACAAAGCTAGTAAATGTCCTTAGAGACCCTTGAGTCCCACCTCTTCACAGGTGAGGAGGCTGGAGCCCAGAGAAATGAATTGATTTGCCTTGGGTGATACAGGTAGTAACTGACAGGTGCAATTTGAACTCAGATCTTCCTGACACCAGGCCCAGTGCACTACCCATTGTACCACCTGGCTGCACTTATGGAATGCTTCTTGAATTGAATTGTTTCTCAGGAAACAACTTACTTTATTTGTGATAAAGAGGAAAGAACACTGGTTCTGGAGTTCTGGGGTCAGGGATCCCACTTCTGTGTGGGACCTTGGGCAAGTCAGCTAACTTCTTTAGTCCCCAGTCTCCTCACCTGTAAGATGAGGAGGCTGGACGCAAGGGCCTCTGAGGACCATCCCAGCTCTCAGTCTATCTCTAATACAGACTCATAGTCTGGATACAGAGAAAAGCCCCCACATGCATAACAGAGCCAGGAGACAAACAAACAAAAGAGAACTGACATTGAATCTGACAAGAAGGAGTGGGGGGGGGTTGTTATTTGCATCATTGGAGGGAGAACCCACATGGATGAGATCACAAATCCATCAGAGCATGGAAATAACTGATATTTCTATAGTGTTTGATGGTTTGCAAGTCCTTTCACACTTTTTCGCTCCTACAGCTATATTTTACATCAAGTGGGCATTTATTAAATATTTGTTGATCCTCACAACCAAAAAAAAAATTGTCATCCCTATTTTTCAGAAGAGGAAATTGAAGCAGAGAGTAATGAAGTGACTTGTCCAAGGTCACCCATGTAGCAAAGCCCAATTGGAAGCCTTAGTCTTTTGGCTACAAATCTGCTGGTGGTTCCACTAAACCCCAGCGGCTTTCCCATACATACAATAATGAGACACACCTTATTTCAAAGATTGACCAGGATGGGGCTGGGGTAGTTTAAGGAGGGTTTTCTAGAAGAAGTCACTTGAGCCAGGGAACATCCAATGAAGACAATCATGCAGAGACACCAGCTCACTCCAACCCCACTCTGGCCCTACTCCAATTGAAGGAAAGGCAGATCTGATTCCCATATCTCTGGGATGCTTTGAGCATGATCCTGCCACAAAGGCAGGGGGCTGAACTAGATGTTCTTTCAAGGACCAGGGTCCAGGAGTGCAGCTTGAGAGAAATAACCACAAGAAATAGAAATGGCCACCATTCCCACCACTCTTAAAAATGTACCTACACAATGCAATGCAGGCACTGGTGAACTGCTGGGGCTCTGTCCACGGTGCTGATCTCTTAGTAGTCAGCTGGAATCCTGCAATCATAGGCTATAGATTATAGAATGTCAGTGATGGACTGTACCTTAGGACAGATCTCTGGAGGACCTTAGAAAATATAACATAGACTACCAGAGTTATAAAGGGCCATTAGAATA